ATTTATTTATTTATTAAAGATTTATTTATTTACTTGAAAGTCAGTTACACAGAGAGAGGAGAGGCAGAGATAGAGAGAGGTCTTGCATTCGCTGGTTTACTCCCCAATTGTCCACAACGGCTGCAACTGCACCGATCCGAAGCCAGGAACTTCCTTGGGGTCTTTCTACATGGGTGCAGGGGCCCAAAGACTTGGGCCATCTTCTACTGCTTTCCCAGGCCATAGCAGAGAGCTGGATTGGAAGTAGAGCAGCCATGACTTGAACTGGCGCCCATATGGGATGCTGGAACTGCACTGGCCCCTAAATGTGTTTTGACAGAGATCTAAAACAAAGATTTTTTTTTTTTTTTTTACTTATTTTAGAGAGAAGAGAGAGAGCTAAGCAAAGAAAGTTCCCATATACTGATTTACTCCCTAAATGCCCCTAAGTCTGGGACTGAGCCAAGGTTGAGGCCAGGAGCCAGGAACTCAATTCAAGTGTTCCACTTGGGTGGCAGGAACCCAGTTACTTAGCCATCACCTGCTGACTCCCATGGTCTTCATTAACCAAAATCTGGAAGCAGGAGTAGGAGCTGGATGTCTTAAACAGCACCCAAACTTGTAGGCTAAGCACTAGTTATATATTTATATTCAGAAAAAGCTGAATATTTATATCCAAATAAAACCACCACTTTAACTGGCACCCATATGGGATGCTGGCACTGCAGTGACCCCTAAATGTGTATTTATTGACATGAATAATTCTCTGGAATTTTCTGTTGAGTATATAAAGCAATTTATATGTAATATGTATATCATGAGCACATTTTTGCCCTTAGTATGCACATATACTTTCATATGTGTATGACAGATAAGTGGCTGATTTATGAGAAGGGAGGGAAGCAGAGATGCAGGCAGACTATATAAGGCTATATGTCTAAATGTGAACTTCATGCCATTGAAGATAAACTATGAATTAGTTTTATCTTATTTTTTCTGATTTGTATTTTCTACCTTTCTACAGTGAAATAACATTATTTGGTAAATTAAACAATAAAATTATTTTAAAATTCTAATCGTAATCCCATATGTTTCCATAGTCTGATCTTAGGTGATGTGAGATTAACTGGCATCATTTTTCTCCTAAATGGAGGCTCTCTGCTTCATTAAAAATGCGCTTAAAGTAAAGTATCATCTGCAACACGAAACATGCTGTAATCACCAACAATAACACACACCTATAAGAAAACAAATCAGGTAACCCATCAGTTGGAAAATGCAATGCATTAAAAGGGGTTCTTGCAACTTTCTCAGTGTTTTCCAAGAGAGATTAAGAACTTACCTCTCACAGCTATTCTTTTGTCCTCAACCCTGATGTTGTGAATTATTTTCCAGGAAGAAAAGACAGTACTGTAAGAGTGGCGGTGGACGTAGATGCAGGCCTTGCCCACGTGCTAGACTGATATGGATTTTAAACCCCCAGGAAAAAAAGTTAGGCCACAGTTCTATGTGAAATGAAAGAAGTCTGCATTTCTAATACTTATTAGCTGACATTTAGCTAGAAGGGGTCACTAATCATTAAGTTATTTTTATAGCCTGATTAACAGAAGCTGTGTTTCCATGACAACAGACAATGTATGGGAAGGTATAAAAATAAAGATAATGGAACTTGTGGTGATCTTAATAACACTCCATGGAAATCACTCATTAATCTGGTGTTTTTATTCTCCAGGCGTCTGTGCCAACTGCAGAACTGACTCTCTGGGCCGGCTGATGTTGGAAGTAATGCATTTTTGAAAGCTCTAAGTGCCTTTAACCTATGTCATTGAGTCAGGGAGTTTGGTAATCCTTCCTTGATTCCTCTTACGAGCTAAATATGGAAGGGACACTGTAAAAGCACCCTTTGATCATCTTGTACTGACTAAGGAAGAGTGCAGGATTGGTTAGAGCAGTAGATAAGTTTTATCCTAATTCTTATGGAATACATAACAGGTTTACTCATGAATTAAATATTACATGAAAAAATGGTAAACCAGGCTATTTTCTAGATTTCTAAGCTAAGATACTACATAGGTGATAGTGTAAAAGATTGGAGGATCAGTAAAATGTGGATAGGGAAAGTGGAACTAAAGGGTTCTATTTTAGAAATCCCTTTATCTTCAAACAGACTCAGATTATGTTACATTGTGACTGAACATTTTAGACCCAAATAAAGCAGCTCAGTTCAAAGACCTGATTTCATGCAGACAAGGTCATCGTTTCTCTATCAATGGAATATTGGTGCTGGTACCAGAATATGATCTTATTACCATTTGAAAGGATCACCTGTCTATGTCGAATCCTTTTGTACTTGTCCTCAACCTGGTTTTTATTTTTCAAAGTAATCTAGGTGTGGATGTTTTAGAATCAACAACTTGTATCGCTTCCTGAACAGAGTTTAGAACCTACATGTTTCTATATTTTGGCCTACACTGGTACTTCTCAGCAATGTACTGACTGTGTGTTGCATACATGTTTACTCACATCATTTTATAACAGATGAGAACTGCAGTTATCCTTGGTGTGTCTCTCAGGATCATTTCCAAGCTCTCTAATGTGACTTCCTTTACCTTTAAAATTCTAATACAGAAACAAGACTTTATAAATCAAATAAAAATGAGTATTCATAAATAGGAAATAAACTCTGAAGCAAGTATTGACACCACTATTAAACAGGGAATCTGTTTAATACATGTTTAAAAGATCATTTGGTGTTGTTTTCAGTATGAATGTGTATTAAGTGGAAGAAGGTTAGAATTGTGCTTAGAAGACATTGAATTGCTCAAAGCAATAGGATTATATGTATTTGAAGTATATTCAGGATAGAAATTAAAGCATTTATCCTTAAAAAAATTAAGCTGGAATAGAATCCTAAGGCAATATGTTGCCATACACTTTCCATAACTTTGCTCCAACTCATGGATGAATTTTTCCAATACTTTATTCCATATTTGATAAGATCCCAATCAGATCACTGTTGAGCTGTAGACACTTGTTCCAAAGTCTTCTATGGAAATCACACCAACTCCGAATGAAGCCAAACTCTAACTGATTTAACATATGTTACATACACTTTGACCTTGTTCTTTCTAGTTGTTTCTTCACATGAGATTTCCACATAGATTCCGTAACCAAGGAAAGCTTCATAGATCCAGTAAGGACTCATGCTTCATGTGACACCAGCTTTCTTGGAAGCAGTAATTGGGAACCAGTTCCACACAGAGCTGAGCAGATTTGCAAAGGTCCTGAAAGTACTTACACCCATGAGCATCATTTTAAGGGATTTCCTTTTCTTTAAAAGATTTATTTATTTTTATTTGAAAGTCAGGGTCACACAGAGAGAGAAGGAGAGGCAGAGAGAGAAAAAGGGGTCTTCCATCCACTAGTTCACTCCCCAATTGGCCATGACAGCTGCAGCTGCGCTGATCCCAAGCCGGGAACCAGCAGCTCCCACATGGATACAGGGCCCTAGTGCTTAGGGCATCTTCTACTGCTCTCCCAGGCCACAGCAGAGAGCTGGATCAGAAGTGGAGCAGCCAGGACTTGAACCAGTGCCCATATATAGGATGCCAGCACTACAGGCAGCAGCTTTTACCTGCTATGCCACAGTGGCATAGGACAGAGCATGACTTGTTAAGAATTTGTACCAACATTGCTTTATGAAATTTTGGGAGTTATAAATAGTAGATACTTAAGGATTTCAGACTACTGCTGTGTTTCATCTAGGATCTGTTTACCTTCTAACAGAAAGTATTCAGAAAAATATAACTAAATTTTGAAAAGTTTAATAGTGGATTGCTTAATATATGCCTTTTCTTTGCATACTATTTACAACAGCATGTACAATGATTGTAATTAATCAAGAATCTGACAGCTGCCATGCGCAGAGATTGCCAGTCCAATAGAAGTTCATAAACTGATTTAGATAGACTGGATGGCTCAATATTGGATTAAATTAAGTCATCTGAACAAAAGCCTGGGGGGTTCTAAGAGTGGCATGAGACTATAATATATAACTTAGCAAGACCTGGAATAACCTTCTATTGGGTAAAATGAACTTCCCTTGTATTTTAGTAAAAACAAATCCTAGTTTATGTTAAATTCAAATCCCTATGTTGAAGTCCTAATCCCCAGTACTAAGAATGCATCCTCGTTTGCTGACAGGGTCTTCACAGGGGTAATCAAGTTAAAATGAGGTTATTAGGTTGAGTCCTAATCCAGCAGGATCAGTTTCCTTATAAAATGAGAAAAAATATGGGGTTGGCAGAGTGGTGTAGTGGGTAAAGCTGCTGCCTGCAGTGCTTGCATCATACGCAGTGCTGGTTCAAGTCCCGGCTGCTCCATTTCAGATCTGGCTCTCTGCTATGGCCTGGGAAAGCAGTAGAACATGGCCCAAGTGCTTGGGCCCCTGCATACAAGTAGGAGAAGTGGAAGAAGCTCCTGGATCCTGGCTTCAGATGGGCCCAGCTCTGGCCATTGTGGCCGTATAGGGAGTGAACCAGTGGATCAAAGACCTCTCTCTTTGTCTCTCTCTGCCTCTGCCACTCTGTAACTCTGCCTTTCAAAAAAAAATAATGAGAAAATTTGGACAGAGACATACATAGAGGGAAGATATAAAAGACATAAAGAGACTGGGGGAGAAAAGAGCCATCCATTAGCCAGAGAAAACCAAAGCCTCAGAAGGAAGCAAACTACCAAGATCCTAATTTTTGGACTGTCAATCTCTACGACTGAGATAAAATTAAGTTCCTCTTTGTAAGTCATTATATCCATGGTACTTGGTAATAGCAGTTACAGCAAGTTAATACATGGCCCAATCATCCCAGCAGGAACTGGAGTCCTTGAACCTGACCGGAGTCTCGGGTTTCTTTCTCAGGGTTGTTCATGACAGGCAGAGAAGCTGGGCTGACAATCAAAGGGAAGACCCCGATGCATCAAGTGAGTTAGTGAGGAGGTGGAACAGAAACACAGAGCCACTGGAGTTTGATTACTCTGATGATTTATTAATATTCAGATTGAAAAAGGAGCCTTAGAGCTGCAAGTTACGCTAATTGGCACATTTGCTTTATTTATTTATTTTTAAAACAAACTGGGTTTTTGATTTTTTTTCCTTTTTGTTCATTCCATCACATTGAAAAGGAAGAAAACAAAAATGGTTTTGAATTCACTCAATATTTTGGACTCCTCAGATGAACGGAACATTGCACACACACTTGGAACAGAGAGAGATAGAGAGGAAAGTGGACTCCCACAGGGCCACACGCACCAGATCAAAAAACTTGGATACAGTGCAAGAATTTCCCAAAATGATTGGATCATCATTACCAAAAACTCGCCATAACAACACCAAGAAACGAAAAATTTTTAAGCCACACTGTTTGACTTGGGATCTTTCCTGCTTTTTTTTTTTTTTAAATGTTTGCCACACAGAGAGAAAGAGGGCTAGCGGGTAGGAGAGGACAGACTCACAGACGTGAGCAGGACAGGAAGGGAGACTTCAGAGTGGAGTTGAGAAGAGGGTGGGAGAGACAGGGCTCAGGAGAGGGGAGGGTGGGGACGAGGAAAGCCGTTTCTTAGAGTTCAGGCATGTTCTTGGTCAGCCTCGCCTTCTTCTTTACCCTCATCCTGCCGGGCACTTTCCTTAGGTTTGGTTTCATCTACAGCTTCTGAGAAGGCAAACAAGACAGGGTGGGGGTGGGGAAGAGAAAGGAAAAGTTAGTATTTTGCGACATCAGCTCATACAATAGGACAACATTTTTTCATATCATTACACAGACCTTTGGAATAAAAAGAGATTTTTAGTGTCCTAAGCTGTTAATTAAATTCAAGTTCAGAAGGATTGCCCTGCAGAAAGTTTTCCTATGAGTGGCACATATGAAAGAGCTCAGAAACCAAGGTATATGGCTAGGAAATAAGGAGTTCATGAAACAGAAATGGTGTGGCCTTACAACCTTCAGCCAAGGTATCTGCACGTGGGATTCCCCTAGCAAATCAACAGTCTAGTATTTCTGTCCCATTAACGTCAGAATAATTATGACAGATAATCGACACAGGTCATGGAGCATGTTTCAATTTTCTTATCCCTATTTCTTGTAGTACAATGAATGGAAAGCAAAATATCAAATTTCCAGATCTGACAAGAGCTAGAGGTAGCCATATGACAGAGCTGACTATTTAGAAAGAGGTAAAGTTGGATGGAGTTGGCTTTGCTTTTGCATTCTTCCATTCCCAATGACTGGAACATCAAATTATCCCTAATAGTGTAGTCACTCTCTTGTGATCATGAAGACAAAAATGGAACACCAAGGATGGTGGAGACAAAGACAGAAAAAAAGCATTCTTGAGTGACAGTGCTTCTGCTTGACATATTAACCTCACAGTTGTTGTGTCAAATAACCTCTGTAAAGCGCTGTGGTTTTCAGTTTTTTGCAATCAATACATTCCAACTAAGTACACTTATCCATAGGGCAGGTATTGTTTTACATAATAAGGGGTGCTTTATAGAGAATATTTTCTCCCTTACCTCCCACCACCCACTCTCCTTGTAGAACTCAATCAAGTGATGTTATGCCACAAGATAGCTTACTAAGATGCCAACTGTGCAAAGAGAATTCACTTTCCCTAAAGTCATCTGTGTTTCCAACCAACAAATTCTCTGTATCAGAGATCTCCAAGACCACCCAGGGGTTTAATCATTTGCTGTGAGGTCTCACAGGAGTCAACATACAGTCCTGTTTATGGTTAAAATTTATTACAGTGAAAAGATACAAAGCAAAATAAGCAAAGGGAAAAGTTGCTTGGGACAAAGTTTGGAGGAGACCAGGCACAAATTTCCAAGAATCTTCTCCATGGAGAGTCATTCAGGTAGTTCTTAGTTCTTCATTTTCTTCAAGCAATAAATTACAACAACATGTGAGATGTTATCTACTAGGGAAGTTCACATGTGCCTACAATTCCAGAGTTTGTACAGGAAGCTGGTTAGGTAGGCACACTCTGCCTAAAGTGTACCAAATCCAGATTCCAAGAGAGAGAATAGACATATTCAGGAAAAATCACAATGTTTGCACAAAGATTTTAGGCATAAGGAACCACTCCTATCAGTAACAGAATGGGGAATACCCTCTGAAAATCCAAGTTTCCAGAAACCAACTAAGAACTAGGGATACCAGTCAGTTATTAACCCTAAAATGACTCGGGAAATGGTCCCAGGCCTGCTTTCTTAACTTCTTTCTGCACATCCCCTCATGTTGAGAATGCCTGCATCTCTTTGGTTTTTTTTTTTTTTTTTTTTTAATTTTTAAAAATGTATTTCTTTTGAAGGTTAGGGAGAGAGGGAATCTTCCATTTGCAGGAAGACAGGGCTGGACCAGGTCAAAGCCAGAAGCTAGGAACTCCATTTGCATCTGTCATGTGGGTGAGGAGAATTCAAACACTTGGGCGGTCATTCACTACCTCGAAGGGTGTGCATTAGCAGAAAGCTGGATCAGAAGTGGTACTCAATCCCAGGCACTCTGCTTAACCAACCACAGACAATGCCTGCCCCACCTGTGTCTTTGAAGCTCTATTATTGCTTTTCCTCCTCTTAATGTCTACTAGCTGCTGATTTTTCTCAGAAAGTTAAACTGCAGTTAATGGAATTTTGTTAAGCCAAGAAATTTGATTTGATTTGAAGGGAATGGATAAGTTTTTTAAGGCCCCTAGTGAAAAAGGACATTTGTACTTTCCTAAGACTAAATTGCATACCAAATAAAGTAGTTTTGGTGTTGGGAGAAAATACAAATAAAAGAAATGGGGCCATTTAGGAAATCATTAGAAGGGCTCATAAAAATATATATTTCTTTCCAATCAATCAGCTATAAGATTTTTAAAGGAATTTATTAATATATTAGATTCTCAGGGTCACAGCAAATGCATAATTACTATAATACAATTTTCATCAATTTTCATGTTAAAGTGATATTCATACAAAGAGAACAGATTCAGTGTATTTCATACAAGCAATTATTCCTCCTACCCTACCTCCCACTCTCTTTCTTTTTTTTCTTTCTTCCCTTATTTCTCTCTTATTTTAATTTTGAGATAACATATTTTTATTTATATTATAGTCAAAGGCTTAATGGTCCACTAAATGAAAAGTTCAAATACTAAAGAGTAAAAAGACCATAATTTTGGAAGACTATAGGCAAGGGCTATAAATAATAATCAAATTAAAATATATCCATTTCATTCCTATACAGTACATTTTAAAATGATCATTGATCATTAAAACTATAGTAGAATATAATTCTTAACCACTGGTTTGACAGAGATCTAAAACAAAGATTTTTTTTTTATTTTTACTTACTTATTTTAGAGAGAAGAGAGAGAGCTAAGCAAGGAAAGAAAGTTCCCATATGCTGATTTACTCCCTAAATGCCCCTAAGTCTGGGACTGAGCCAGGCCAAGGTTGAGGCCAGGAGCCAGGAACTCAATTCAGGTGTTCCACTTGGGTGGCAGGAACCCAGTTACTTAGCCATCACCTGCTGACTCCCATGGTCTTCATTAACCGAAATCTGGAAGCAGGAGTAGGAGCTGGATGTCTTAAACAGCACCTAAACTTGTAGGCTAAGCACTAGTTATATATTTATATTCAGAAAAAGCTGAATATTTATATCCAAATAAAACCACCACTGTTAACACATATTTTTGGAATCTCTTCTTTTTTATACAGCCAGTCTAGTCTTGTTTGTTAAGTAAAGCAAACAGTGATGATGGGTCATTTGACTCTACACTAACATTTTTGTCCAGTATTTTTAAGACATTATTTTGTGGGGTTGTAATTCACTGTACAATTTCTTCACGATAGTTTTCTGCAGGTGCTACCTATCAGAATCAAAATGTTTTAAGGTTGTGGCATTCCAAGGTAACTATTATTTACTCCTGAAGAATCAGTGCACTGACCCAAGGTTTTGGATGAAACAAAGCTCAATTCTGAGCATTGTAGTACTCTATCTATCCGTAGTATTCTGGAGCAGCAATAGAATTTCTTCCTGAAGAAAGTTTCTGTGTGTATTTTAGTGAGGTACCCTTAGAATAATGTAAAATACCTTCAGAGAATTTTCTTAGTTCCATAACTTTGCTCAAAGCTTTGGATCTCAAGATGGCTTACTATCCATATCAGCTCCAAGAAACAATATTTTTGGTGCCCTTTTCAAAATGCAAATAAACGTGATATTGACTTACATTTCCCACAAGCATATAGAAGTATCAGTTGTAGGAAGGGAAGATTTCAAATCTCTTCCACTAAAGTAAAAACTTGGGAGCTATGATATAGGATTTGAGGGATATTAGAAACTCAATAGAAAGTGGGAAGTAGTATAGGTTTTACAAGAATTGTATGTGTGATAAAGGAAAAGAAATTCAAATTCAAAGGTGGGAGAAACAAAAAGACAAAGATTCCAACCACTCTGAGATGCAACCATGCTTTTTAACTCTTGTTGGAACAGAACCAGGTTAGTCATCCTAAATTCTCCCACCTTCTCTTGTCATCTTTTGCTTGGTCCTAGGACAAAAAGTAAAATTTGACATAAATTGTTTACTATGAGAGGAAGCTATTGCTATATATTCGCTATTAAGAGAGCATCAATATCTACCTACTCTTTCCCTCAAATGCCTCCCAGTATTTTAAGTACAATTATTTCTTCATTTACTTGCTTATTAAGTTGTTGTTGAGCACCTACAATGGACCATGCATTCTACTAGGTATTGGGAAGAAACAGTGAAAAAACCTGGCAAGTATCATTGCTGTCACTGAAGGCTGTCATAATACAATTATACTTCAAGTAGGTTTGAAAATGGGATTAAAACGTAAGTTGCTATGGGGGCAAAAGTTTGAAATGTATGCATTCAAAAGGTCTTCAAAAAGTTCAAGAGAAATGTGTATTATAAAAAAAAACTATGCATGAATTTCAAAATCTTTGTGCACCAAAATAAAATTACCTTTTAATTTCATTTTCCATGAACTTTTTGGAGTACTTCCATATGACTTTAACTGACAATAAAACCCATAATCAAAGAAAGTTAGCCATTAGAGGGCCTTAAGTCATCCAGTTACTGAACTATAATCTCTTCAAAGGTAACAAAAAAAATCTCTACTTTTACTCAACTTTGAATCCTCAGTGTCCAGCATGGAGCCTAACACAGAGAAGGCGGTCAGTAAAGATTTGTTGAATGAAAGAATGAATGACTATCTTCATTTTACAGCTGAGGAAATTGAAGTATAGGTCCATGAAGAGACTTTCCCTAAATCATACGGTTTGCTTATGATCACATCAAGACTAAAACTCAGGTCTTTTGCCTGTCCAGATTTTCCCATTATATTAGGTATTCAAACTTGAGTATTAAAGGTCAAGGTCAAACCTGTTTTAGCAGTTCAGCACTACAAACTAAGTAGCTAGAGTCCACAATCATTTCCTGAGAAATAAAACTTATGCGATTAAAAACATGTTGACTGGCTGGGACTGGGCCACCCTAAAGTCAGGAGCTAGGAACCCAGTGCAGATCACCCACAATGAAAAGATGGCAGAGATCCAAATACTTGAACCATCATCTGCTGTCTCCTACTGTGTGCATTTGCAGGGTGGTGGAGTTGGAAGCAGAGATGAGACTTGAACCCAGGCACCCAATG